TTCTGACACTACTTATTGCAACGCCACAAATATAAGCGCAGTGTGCTATGCCGGGTGGTTGCATGCACGTTCTGAAGTGCGCAGCGACCCCGCATAGCACATTGCGCTTATATTTGTTTAAAAAAATGCTCAGCTACAATAGCTGACCGCTGAAATCAGAAGGGCATAGCTTGCGGGAAACCCTAGCTGCAAACCCTAAACCCTAAACCCTAAACCCTAAACCCTAATTTCACGTTCCGCCGTTCAAGTTTTTCCGTTGCGGCGCGGCGGCGGGCGGAACCTCCGAATTAAACCTCTCTTTTTTCCCTTTGAAAGAATTAAATAAATGAAAATTAATAAAATAAAATAAATTAAATTAAATGAATTAAATAAATGAAATTTAATTTGCAGAAAGCTGCAAACGTGAAGATCGAAGCCGGACTTGCAAAAGTTGAATAGTTGCGCGGTGTCAGTGGAGCTGCGCTTTGTCGAAAGCTATTTTTTGAGTTAAAACGAATTAAAGTGAATTAAAGTGAATTGATTTGAATTAATTTGAATGAATTCGAATTAAATAAACAAAATAAACGTTTAAATGAAGTGGAAAGCCCGGAAAAGCGAAAGAGGCGTTTTTCGTTCAAGTTTCCACTTGGGGTTTCGGGGGCTGCGGTGTCTGTACACCTCGCGCCGCCGCACGCGCCGCCCGCGGCCAAAACTGGAAATCAGTTTTATAATTTTGAATTAATTTCGAATGAATTCAAAAGAATAATATTGTTGTTGTTTACAAGTTTGGACTTGCAACTAATTCGGAACTTCTTTTGGAATTCAACTTCGAATTTGAATTCAAATCAGTTTCTTTCCAACTTCGCGGACTTCTCTTCTTCCGCTTCTTTTCACTTCTTTCTTTTCTTCTCTTCATTTATTTATTTATTATTTATTTATTTATTTATTTATTTATTTATTTATTTTTGTTTCTCATTTTCCAAAATGATGAAATTCGTCGTCGACGGCAACTGGCTCTACTGCGCTGTACTCGCAGCTTCCCAACTCGTTGGCGGATGTTTTCGACTTCACCATGAGGTACTTTTTTATTTATTATTTATTTATTTATTCATTATTTAATTTGATTTAATTAATTTGATTTAATTGACTTAGTTTAATATGATTTAATTTAATTGATTTGATTTGATTTGACTTGATTTAATTGATTTGATTTGATTTGAGTTAATATATTTAATTTTATTTAATTTGTTTTGTTTGTTTCTTTTGTTGGAGCAGTTTCTTTTGTTTTTGTTTTCTTTCTCTTTCTGTTACTTTTTGTTTTTCCTTTTTTTCCTTTTGAATGAAATTCAAGTTTCATTTCTTTTGCTGTTCTTCTTTTTGCTTCTTTTTGTTTCATTTTATTTTTATTATTTTCTTCTTTTCGTTTTTTATTTATCTTTTCTTTTTGTTTCTTTCCCTGTCTCCTCTTTCTTTGTTTTCTTATTTCTTTTTTCCTTTTTATTTCGTTATTATTTTCTATAATGCACAATTCAATTTCATATTCAAAAAACCGTTTAATTCAAGTTTCTATTTTTGTTTTGTTCTTTTCTTCCTTTCATTTTATAATTCTTTTATTTTTATTTTATTTTATTTTTATTTTATTTATTTCTAATTTTCATTTTCAAATTTACTTTTTGCATTTTTTTCCTTTTATACATATGTCTTTATTGAGTCTTTATTGAGTTCCTTTTCTTCTTTCCTCTTTTTAATGCGATTTAATTGATTTAGTTAAATTTAATTAAATTTAATTAAGTTTAATTAAACTAATTAAGTTTATTTTAATTTTATTTAATTAATTTGATCATTTTATTTAATCAAATTGAATTAATTAAATTTAATTTCAATTTCAATTTTTTATTTTGAATTTCCACTTTTGCCTTTTCAGGACTTTCTCGGCGCGGCAGTGCAGTAAGGCGAAAATTGCAGAAATTAAACAGAATTTAAATTAAAAATAAACAAAATAAAGTAAATAAATTAAATTAATAAATTAAATAATTGAATTAATTAAGTAAATATTCAGTTAATTGGATTAATTAGTTGTTTTGAATGTTTGATTATTTGATTTGCAAAATTTAGAGAATTCAAAATTGGATATAAATATTTAATTTCGAAACAAGTCGAAGAATGGAAGTTCGAAATGAATTTAAAACTTTCGAATTATAATTCGAAAGTTTATTTGATTTCAAACATTCAATTAAATGTTTGAAATCATTTAATTGAATGTTTGAAATCATTCAATTAAATGTTTGAAATCATTTAATTAAATGTTTGAAATCATTTAATTAAATATTTGAAATCGAATAAATCTTCCAAAGATTAAATGGAATTATTCAAAGTCAATTCTGATCATAAAAAGACCAAGAGTAATAAAAAGAAAAAATAATAGAAAGGGAGATTAATGAACAGAAATAATAATAATAATAATAATAATAATAATAATAATAATAATAATAATAATAATAATAATAATAATAATAATAAAACAAATAAGAATAAGAATAAGAATAATTAACAAGAAGAACAATAATGTTGTCTGGGCTTTTGTGTCTGAACAAAAGCATCTCCAAAAGCCCATCAAAAGAAAGCCGGTAAAAAGAAAATAAAAAGAATAAACGAAATAATAAAAATAACAAACGCAAACAAAAATAAATAAATAAATAAAATAACAAAATAAACAAAATAGAAATAAAACTTCATTTTTCTCCCGGACGTTATATCTTTGCGTTTGTGTGCAAATGAAGGCACACCAAAGAGCCCGTCAAAATACTAAAGAAATAAAAGAACAAAAATAATAAGAATAAATATAAGAATGAAAACAAACAAACAAATAAAACAATGAAACAAAAAGGAAGTAAAACTAAGATAAACTTGTTTCTTTCCAGAATGCTTTCTGGCCCGTTGTGTCTTAATAAAGGCACAGCAAAGAGCCCACCAAACTAAAGACAACAAAAGGAGAAGAATGCTAAATAATAAAACAACAACAAAAGAACAAAAGAACGAAACAAACAACAAAACAAAACAAATAAATAAATAACTTCCAGAATGCTTTCCGGCCTTTTGTGCCTGTGGGCGCTGCGGCGCGTTTGGGCGTTTCCTCGGAAGGCGCTTTTCGGATTTGTCTTCGCCTCGCTCGCCTACGAATTTGGCCAAGTCCTTTTTGCAGTGGCGCGTGAGTTCACGATTTGTTTCATGAATTATTATTATTCAATTAATTGAACAATTAAGCTGGTTAAATTAATTAGTTCGGTTGCTTCGTCTGCTTTCATTCGGGGGTTTCGTTCCTTCTTTTGCCGCACTTCGTTTGGTCCGGGGAGGCGATTTGCTGCTGCTGCTGCTGCTGCTGCTGCTGCTGCTGCTGCTGCTGCTGCTGCTGCTGTTGTTGTTGTTGTTGTTTTGCTGCTGCTGCTGTTGTTGTTGTTTTGTTTTGGGTTCGTTTGTTTGCTTTTTGGCTCCCTTCTTTGATCTTGGCTTCAAACAACTCCAACTCAAATGAATTGAATCAAATTAAGTTCAGTTAAATTAATTAAATTAATTAAATTAAATTAAATTAAATCAAATTAAATCAAATTGATTAACTTAAAAGTAAATAAATAAAAGATTTATTTATTCGCATTTTTGATTTTCGGATTTGCTGCAGACGGCGCCAACGTCAGATCCTTCAAACGCCTTTTCTGGGTTCGTCAAATTTATTTATTTTTATTTTATTTAATTTAATTTGATTTAATTTAAGTTGATTTGATTTGATTTGATTTGATTTAGTTTAATTCATTTAATTTAATTAATTGGATTTATTTAATTCGCCAAATCTTTATTTATTTCCTTCCATTCGTTTAATTAAATCGCCATTTATTTTTCGTTTTTTATTTCTCTCCTTTTCAGAATTGCGCGACGCTGTGGAGCTGTAAGTGCAAAAAAGAAAAGTCTCAAATAAATTAAATCAATTAAACAAATTAAATTAAATCAATTAAATCAATTAAATCGAATTAATCAAATTAAATTAATTTGTTGCATTTAAAAGGAACAATTAAACCTTTAGTATTATTATTATTATTATTTATTTTATTTTATTTTATTTTATTTTATTTTATTTTATTTTATTTTGAAAAGGCGTGGCCTCGTTTTGGTTTATTCAACTCTGGAGAGTTCTCCTCGACGCCGAAGTAGCCAAAGGTAATTAATTTAATTTAATTTAATTTAATTAAATTTAATTTAATTAAATAGAATAGTAATAATAAAGTAATTAAATTAAATTAAATTAAATTAAATTAATTTGAATTAAATAATTTGATTTGATTTGTTTTTAATTTGAATTTTTTGGCCCAGAAAAAAAAGGAAAAGAAACTCGAACGGCTCCAGCGCCTTCCAAAGCAGCAGCAGCAGCAGCAGCAGCAGCAGCAGCAGCAGCAGCAGCTCCTGAGATAGAAGTGAGTTTTAATTTGCTTTATTAATTTAATTAAATTAAATTAATTA